TAAGAGGTTGGCATGGTGGTATTAGACAGAGTGAGACGGACATCCCCTTTACTGACAGAATTACTAGATGCAGGAGACAAATATCACGCTAGAAAAGGGGTCACAAAACCAACGCTGAAGAAAGAATCAGGACACTCCGATATAAACTGGATAAGGCGGCTACTTCAAGTTTGTCAACTACAGTAGAAAGAAATAATTTGAAGAGAGAACTCAATCAACCTTACATTGATGAAGAGATTTTCTGGAAACTCAAAAGCAGAAACTCTTGGGCTCATGAAGGAGACATGAATACGAAATGCTTCCATTCAGTGATGAAAGCAAGGAAAGCACGGAACAGAATCCTCTCTACTGAAGACAGCGATGGTTTTGTTCACAGAGGTGATGCAGCTATTGCGGATGTCGCAGTCAACTACTTTCATGATCTGTTTCAATCCTCAAACCCTTCAGATGCACTTCAAGCAGATGTTTTTCAGGATTTTCCAAAACGAGTCACACATGAAATGAATATGCAACTTACACAAAGGGTGACTCAAGAAGAAATTAAGGAAGTTGTTTATAGCATTGGTCTTCATAGAGCTCCGGGTCCCGACGGTTTTTCAGCAGCTTTCTATCATCATTTCTGGAGTGAGATTAGCCCTGCAGTTTTGAAGGAAGTGTAACTATTTTTTGAAGAAGGGAATCTGGATCAGATACATAACCATACAAATCTCTGTCTCATTCCAAAAACAGAAGCCCCTGTGAGTATGGTGGAGTTCAGACCTATTGCGCTTTGCAACGTCAGTTATAAGATTATTTCAAAGATCTTGGTTAACCGTCTTAAGAAGCACTTATCAAGCATAATCTCTGACTACCAAGCGGCTTTCATCCCTGGGTGGATGATCACAGACAACAACATCATAGCCCATGAGATTTTCCACGCTCTAAAGGTCAGAAAACAACAGTCTAAATCTTACATGGCTTTGAAAACAAATATTGCCAAAGCCTATGATCGTTTAGAATGGAAATTTCTGGAAACAACAATGTTGCATATGGGTTTTGATAGCAAATGGGTACAGTGGATCATGAAGTGTGTTACTACAGTCAGTTTTTCTGTTCTTATCAATGGATCTCCAAGAGGGATGATCATTCCAGGAAGAGGTATACGCCAAGGCGATCCCATGTCACTATATCTCTTTATCTTATGCGCAGAAGTTCTCTCTCATATGATGAAACAAGCGGAGGCTAAGAGATTACTTCAAGGGCTAAAAATCTGCGATCAAGGTCCAGCGATCACTCATCTTTTATTTTCCGCTGACTCCCTATTTTTCACGTTAACAAATGACAAGTCCTGCAAAGCAATCAAAGAGATCCTTAACTGATATGAACAAATTTTGGGACATGCAGTTAACTTGAGGAAATCGGCGATTTCTTTTGGAAGCAGGGTCAAAGCTCAAGTTAAAACTGGCATGAGACACATTCTGGGAATTCACAATGAAGGAGGTGGGGGCAAGTATTTGGGGCTACCTGAGGAGGTCACAAGGAAAAAAGCAAGGCTGGAGTAAGAAATTTCTTTCTTCTGGAGGTAAAGAGGTCCTTCTGAAATCTGTAGCTCTAGCCTTACCGTATACTCAATGAACATTTTCAAGTTGCCAAGAGAAGTTTGCGAAGAGATAAATGGGATACTAGCAAAATTCTAGTGGAGTAATGGTGAAGATAAAAAGGGAATGCATTGGTTTGCTTGGAAAAGAATGGGACTGTCAAAGAAGGAGAGAGGTATGGGCTTCAGAGACATTGAGAATTTTAATCTTGCTTTATGAGGTAAGCAGGTTTGGCGAATAATGCAGAAACCAGACTGCCTCATGGCAAGGATGTTAAAAAGACGATATTTCAATGATACAAATATCCTCAATGCTACGCAAAAAAGGCACACCTCCTTTATTTGGAAATCTTTGCTTCAGGGGCGCGACCTAATCAAAAGAGGACTACGGATTGTTGTTGGTAATGGCTCTACTGTAAATGCTTGGGTGGACCCGTGGCTGCCTGTTAATCCACCGTGCCCTCCACGAGCAAGAAACAACCCTCCGGAAATTATTCTGTTATCGGATTGGATTCAAACACCTGGGAATAGTTGGAATGAAGCCACCATCAGAGAGATGGTGATTGAGGAAGATGCAAACCTGATTATGTCAATTAAGCTATGCTCTACCGCAACTCAAGATATGTTGGGCTGGCATTATACCAAAGATGGACTATATTCAGTTAAATCTGCATATTGGTTAGCAAATCAATTGTACCTAGATCACACCATTCAGCCGCCACCAGGAGACAATGCGATCAAAGCAAAAATCTGGAAACTAGACACTGCTCCTAAGATTAAACACTACATATGGAAATTCTGTTCTGGGGCTTTGGCTACGGGTGCCAATCTGCGACGACGACGACATATTAATGATCAGTCAATCTGCCACCGGTGCTGCCAGGAGGAAGAATCAACTACACATCTGTTTTTTTATTGTTATTATGCTCAACAGGTTTGGAGAGCATCAGGGATTCCTAATCATGCGGTAATCACCGCTAGTGGGTCGATGGAATCAAAATTGGAGGCTATTTTATTGGGTAATCTAGGCAAAAACAATCTGCAACTCTTTCACTTAGCTCTCTGGATTCTCTGGCGACTATGGAAGAGCAGGAGCCTGCTTGTCTTTGAACAAAAGCACTTGGCTTGGCTGAATACTTTGGAGAGAGCTAAGCATGACGTCGAAGGTTGGAATAGTGCGCAAGATTATATCAAGAGCTTTCAACAATACGGGGGGCAGGAAACACATAATACAAGGAATCAAACACAAGCTGAGTGGGTGAGACCACCAACCGGATGGGTAAAATGCAATTATGATGGGTCTTATAATCCTCTCATGCAAGCATCAAAGGCGGGTTGGGTACTTAGAGATGATGAAGGAACCTACAGAGGTGCAGGACAAGCAGTGGGGGTTTCAACCAATAGTGCTTTGGAAAGTGAATTTCAGGCTTTGATAATGGCTATGCAACATACGTGGAGTCAAGGGTATCGTCGAGTCATTTTTGAAGGAGACTGTAAACGTGTGGAAGAGCTTATGAACAAACAAACTATCAGCTTTGGGAGTTTTAATTGGATTCGTGAAGGAAAGGCTTGGCAAAATCGATTCTCGGAAGTTACTTTCACTTGGACCTCAAGATCAACTAATCAACCAGCGGATATTCTTGCAACAACAAGACTTCCTAACAACAGTTTATTTCAATATCATTTTTATGTTCCCTCATTTTTAACAAATGCTCTGCATTGTAATCACTTTCAATTTCATTAATGGAAGCAGTCGTTAAAAAAAAAACATCTTGTTTTAGGAAATAAAATGTTGCATGAGGAGAGCTTAAAATAATTGATTTAGCCATTTACTGTTATCATATTTTCGGTCAAAAATCATAAGAGAATCTACACTTAAACGTACTTGAGTTGAAACGATTTCATGATTGGTGATCTATTGGAAGTGATTGTCGATAGCGTGTGAATGAGAACAAAACATGGAAATAAATCACATGATTATTTTTAAGGGCGGCAAACAAGTCTTTAAAATCTCTGGAAGTAGCGTTTTGGCCGTCGGAAAAGAGTGGTACACAGACCTAGAGAAAACATAGGACTAACTAAGGATGACGGTTGAGAAATTATAATATTTCAGTAAATTTCAAAACCCGCGAGAGCTAACTTTTGATTCCTCTCTATCTCCAAATCCTCGTTTGTATAATTTGGCCATCCATTACTTTAACTCGAAAAAGAAGAAAAACAAACTAAACGTCATTCATCTTCCAATAAAACTTCAATCCGTAACGCAATCACTCTTTTATGACTGCTAACATTTGGTTGAAAATTTGATTAAATTCACAAAACAGAGGATCATTCCAAACGAAAGAGAAAGTATATGTAAAATTTCAATAGAAAAACAACATCATCAAGAAAATACTCGGAAATGATTATACTCGAAAGAAAGTCATCACTGGTGAATGAGTATCTTATTTTCTTTTACCTTTTTATGTAATACTAAATTTATATTTATTTAATTTTAAAAATACAAATGTTGATATACAAAATCCGCAATCATATAGATTAGGATTGATGTTAGTACAATTGTTGGGTATGACTTGAATTGGATTTGGCCTATGTTATTGGATCCAATTAGTCTAGATTAATTAGAATTCCTTCCTTATAAATAATCTTTTTAACCCACTTTTCATGTATTTTTAAATGTGTATTCTCAATGTAAAATATGTCTTTTTCCCGTGGAGATAACCAATAAATAGTAATAATGATCCATATTAAATTTGTGTCGTGTTATTTAATATTTACAATGATGTTATTTTATCCTTACTCACATCCGTTATAATAGAACTCAGCCTGGAGTTACGGTGACTTAATGAAATTTGTCTGAGTTATAAGATGACCCAGCCTACGTTACGGCTGACCGACTAAGATTTTTCTGAGTTGAGAATTTTGAGCATAATCCAACCTAAATTACGACTGAGTTTTTATCCGATGGTTGATTTGTCAAAATTTTGGCTGAGTTATTCTCTCGACATGGCTGAGTTAACTTTTTCCGGCTAGCTGAGTTATCAAAGGCAGCTTAGTTCTGAGATGTCGTTATGGCTGATTTATGGTTGAGTGTCATAAAATCAGCCATTATGAGCTGGATTAACGGATAACTAGGCCTAGTTACGGCTGACTTAATAGCAAAAGATTAATTACTATAATAGCATGCAATTACGGCCAAATTATTAAACGATATGGCTGAGTTAAAGATTGTCAGTTGAGTTACGACATTAAACGGCTGAATTAACTTGCTGTTTTTCGTTTTCTAATTACTGTAATAGTATTCATGTTGCGACTGACTTATATCTTTGTTTGATGGTTTATTTATTTAGGCAAATTTTCATGTTATTTTGGTGGCTTACTTGCCATTTCATCAATTAAAAAATAACGTTGAATGCAACATTCCACGTCATCATCATCAAATGAAATATGAAACATCTTTTTTTCAACTCGTCTTCTCACCTGAATTTTTCACATCACCGGAACTTCCATTTCGTTATCGTCTTCCTCATTCTTCTTCATTTTCTTTCATCCTTCTCCCGGTATGGTTGATCCGGTTCCGGTAATTGTTGTTTCTTCTCCCGGTACATCTACGATTACAACATTTTGTTGCTTCTTGATATATTATCAAATTCCTGGGAGGTGTCTCTTTATAACTCAATGTCTAAAGATGTTGATGGATGTAGTGAAGCATAATGTCTTGAATGAGGAAACATGAAGACGGTTACTGCTAGTTCATCATATTCATATATGTTGGTTATTGAGTCAAGTGGGAGGAGAACGTTTAGAGATCTACCACTGGAGCTGAGGTTATAGCCGCAATGGAAGCTTTTAAGGAGTTTTTGTGGATGAAGAATTATCTTGAGAAGCTTAGTCAAGTAAGATAAGTACTTTTTACTTTGTGATAATCATATCACAATTCATTTCGCGAAGAACTCACATTTTATTCCCATTCGAAACAGATTGATAATAGGTATCATTGAATACATAATGTGGTTGAGAAAGTTAAATTGGAATATATATATGATAATGCAACTCATATGATAACAATGTCATTACCGAGAGGAGGAAAGCTTTTTGGTTTTCAAAGGATAGCCGCGATGACTATTTACTCCGCTTAAGAAAGAGAGTTTGTCCATTTTCCACGAAGTGGAAGAAACCAATTAGGTTTGGATAAGAGAACGAAAACTTGGGGCTAATTTAATTCATAATGTTATTATTGGACTATGGCTTAGGTGAGAGTATATAAACAACATTTGACCTAATTTTTGTATTAAAAGAAATGAAAAGAAAAGGTGATTCTGGAAGCAAGAGAAAGAAAAATATATTGGTTAGGGTTTGCTGTTTTTAAAGTTTGAGCTCATGACTGTTTTTTGGAAGGTATCTTCTTGACTTAGTGTTCTTTAGATTTAAACGGGAAAGATTATGTTTGAACGGTTGGTTTGAGACAAATATGGGATTTAGTATGGATGGTCATGACTGAAATTTTCCGATTTGTTTGGGGCATCTATTAATTCTAATTAAGATATTATAATGTTGTGATTAGCTTTTGTCACCCCTCTTATATATTTATATAACTATATCATTCATAGTATAATTAAAATTGAGTTTACAAAATATATAAAGATAGCAAAAGAAGTATATTTCATTACATATATTTTTTATCTTACTATATAATTTTCGGTACGTATAAACGTCACGAATCTAGTGATTTAAGATTTTTGATTTGGCAAATTAATCCAAAAACCAAACCGGTTCACTTTCAGTACGATGTCTAAAAAATCACTTTGTGAACTATCATTTGGATTGTGGTATATATGCTTACACTATGTGACTCGGATTAGTTGTAAGAACGCGGCTGTTGGATCGAACCAAAGGTAGAATTGCTGCTCTCTATCACCCTTGCCTTGAGTGTAAACATTAGTGTGAACAATGTATGGATCTCCACTAACATTCCCCAAAAACTCGAAATCTATCTCGTCCCATGTTAATCCTTGAGACTTCAACTACACACCAAAAGCCCTCAAAATGTATCATACAATATAACATACGGTAACAGATTTATATGTATGTCTAGCTAATTAAGAAGAGCTTACATAGATGGTGGTCACGGTCCCGACTGAATTTCCCGGGACAAGTTTGATCTACATATCAACTTTTCCATACAAATACTCAGCTCTCGATTGAAACCCTAAACCTAAAGATTGATCAAGATCGAAATTTAGAAGAGTACCATTGCTCAAAATATTTCCTCTACCATCACCCCAGGTTATGTCAATGTCTTGGTTGAAATCTTTACCGTGTACAACAAGCAATATGCTTAAACCAAGAAAGAGAGATATTGACATAGCCAAAAGTGTATCAGAAAACATTTTAAGGTTTGAAGGTTTTAGGTGGGTTTAAGGGTTTGATTTGGGTTTAAGACTTTAAGGGTTTGATTTGGGTTTTAGACATTTAGAAGGCTATTGATTGGTCAGTATTTATAGAGCATATTTAATGGAGTTTTGATTCCTTAATGATTAGTTATATATTGTAATTATTTCAGTCTTTGAGCTTACTTTAATTTTCTTTAAGAAAAAGGTGAATTTAGTGTGGGAAATGTGAGAAACGAAACAGCCTGGATCATGAGTGTTAGAATATTCACCAGTGAGTTTTTTCTTGGCTTATGCTGAAATTTTACAGAGATTTTCCAGTCTTAGTTATCCTGGAGATCTGACTTAGTGATCAAAATCTTTATTAATATAAGGTTTTTAGGACTTTTAAGGCTTTTCTTTTTTTGTAAGGCTTTTATTTCTTTTTTGGTGTTTTCTTGTTATTAGGGATTGCTTTGTAAGCTTAGTCTCTTATGTGGAAACAACCAAGATGTGGTTGTAACTCAATTACATTTTTGATGGTAAAATTTGTAGATTACGGTCATATGATTTTTACTCCTCACATTGAAGAGTTTTCCACGTATAATCTTAATGTCTCGTTTATTTTACTGTTTCATTTTTTTTGCTACCAATTGATAATATTTTTATTCATATGCACACACAAGTATTAGTAGACACATTTTAGTTCAGTTCTTTAATCTCATTCTGTTAGGGAAACACCACACAACCGTGCACCATAATAAATTTCCATTCTACTTTTATAAGGCGATGAACCAGAAACTTATCAAAGAGATTTCTCCGAAAGAAGTTAAACGTGTCCGTTTCTCTTAAATCCGGATAAAGCACCAGGCCCAGATGAAATCACAAGTTTTTTTTACCAGCGGTTCTGGGATTTAACCGGTCCAGACCTGGTTAAATTAGTTCAAAATTTCTATTCTACAGGCTCATTTGATGAGCATTTGAATGAGACAAATATTTGTTTGATCCCAAAGGTAGACCGACCTAGGAAAATGGCAGAGTTTTGCCCCATTAGCCTCTGTAATGTAAGTTACAAGGTCATTTCAAAAGTTCTTAGCTTCCGGCTAAAGAAGTTACTTCCAGGTTTGATATCTGAGATATAATCTGCCTTTGTGGCAGGTCGACTTATTACAGATAATATTCTAATAGCACAAGAGAATTTTCATGCGCTCTGGACAAATCCGGCTTGCAGGAAAAAGTATATAGCTATTAAGACGGATATGAGTAAAGCTTATGACCGGGTTGAATGGTCCTTCTTACAAGCTCTTATGTTGAAAATGGGTTTCGCTCAAAAATGGGTTGACCTAATAACTTTTTGTATCTCCTCGGTCTCATATAAAATCTTGTTAAATGGATCCCCGAGAGGTTATATTAAACCATCAAGGGGAATTCGTCAAGGAGATCCAATCTCTCCTTTCCTTTTTATACTGTGTACAGAGGCTTTGGTAGCAAATTTAAAAGATGCAGAATGGCATGGTCGAATTCAAGGCCTGCAAATTTCCTGTGCTAGCCCCTCAACCTCTCATCTTTTGTTTGATGATGAGAGTCTCTTTTTTTGTAAAGCAGATCCTTTACAAGGACAAGAAATTGTAAAGATTCTACGTACTTATGGTGAGGTCTCGGGACAACAACTAAACATTGCTAAATCTTCTATCATGTTTGGACATGATGTGGAAAACTCCATTCGTAATAGCATAAAATCAGCTATTGGCATCCATAAGGATGGTGGTATGGGCTCATATTTGGGATTACCAGAGAAAATTCATGGCTCCAAAACCCAAGTGTTCTCTTTTGTTAGGGATCGTCTCCAAAAACGTTTGAATACATGGTCAGCCAAATTCTTGTCCAAGGGTGGCAAAGAAGTACTTATTAAGTTTGTGGCTCAGGCCCTTCCGACATATGTTATGTCGTGTTTCCTCCTCCCTAAAGCAATCCGCTCCAAGTTAAGTAGTACCATTGCAAACTTCTGGTGGAAATCCAATGAAAATAGCAATAGTATTCATTGGATAGCGTGGGATACCCTTTGTAACCCTCATTCGGAGGGGGGCTTGGTTTTTAAACGCTTGAAGAATTTAATTTAGCTCTTCTAGCCAAACAACTTTAATGTCTGATCACATTCCCGAATTCTCTTCTGAGTAGGGTCGTACGAGGAAGATACTTTCATTTCAGTGACCCACTACATATAGGTGCCTCTAATCGGCCCTTTTATGGATGGAGAAGCATTATGACGGCGAAACCTCTTCTTCTTTTGGGTCTTCGCATGACCATAGGATCTGGAATGCTGACTCGGGTCTGGGAAGATCCTTGGATCCCTACAATTCCCGCGAGGCCAGCTAAGAGTATCCTTGAAACAAGAGATCCCCACCTTTACGTAAATGATTTGATTGATCAAAATACACCGATGTGGAAGCTTGATAGCCTTCGAGCCTTGATTGATCCTGCTGATATTCTACTCATTTTAGGAAATTCGGCCAAGTCGTACCTACTTGAGTGACGGGTTTAGTTGGTCTTGTACAAAATCGGGTAATTATACTGTTAAGTCTGGATATTGGGCCGCGAGAGATTTATCTCATCCTACTTGTGATCCCTCTTTTCAGGGACCAGGTGTTTCGGCACTTCAGGCACAAGTATGGAAGCTTAAGCATTTCGCGTGGCAATGTATCTCTGGGTGTCTAGCTACTTGTCAAATGCTAGCTTACAGACATATGGGTACAGATATGAGTTGCCCTCGGTGCGGTGAGATGGAAGAGTCGATTAACCATCTTCTCTTTCATTGTCCACCTTCACGCCAGATTTGGGCGCTATCGCCTATTCCCTCTTCAGGGAATATTTTCCCTAGAAATTCCCTCTTTTATAATTTCAATTTTCTTCTTTGGCGTGGCCACGAATTCGGAATAGAAGAGGAGGTTATTAATATACTTCCATGGATACTTTGGTATATCTAGAAAAGCAGAAACCGCTTTGTCTTTGAAAACATAAGAGAACCCCCTCCTGAAACTCTCGCTTTGGCCCTTCAAGAGGCTGCAGTTTGGAAAAAAGCAACCTCAATTGACGAGGACCACATCGAAGATTCTATCCCCCTTGTTTTCGTGCAAGCTCCCCCTGCTGAGTTCCCTGAATGTCAGT